AGACTATTATATACCTAATAACAAAAATCACAACTTACAAATAGATCAAAAAGAAAAACAAGATTATGTACATATTTACAATTAAAATTGTTTATAAAACTTGAATGTATAATCAAATAATTGATGTGGAAATCTGAACTCCGGATATAATTAATACTACTATAATAACTTATATAGCGCCTATAATCAAGCTAAGATCTACTCGATGGCGCTTTCCGACCACGCTTCGTCATCTAGGTTTATTCAATACCTGGTAAAGCAAGCTAAAAGACTTTAAAACACACACGTTTCTTTTAAAGAAGATAAATGAATTAGTCATCAACCACGCAATAACTAGGAGGGGGGATTGGCTAATGAACCGTGTCACAGCCATGACCAAATATATATTTAAAACAATGCATAAGAGCGGGACAATCCGGGCATCAACGAAATCTGACAATGTTCAGTTTATTAAATCATAAAGAGAGTCACCTAATCTGAAACGCCTTCTAACCAAAATACAATTCATCTGTCACAAGGAGCGTATTTTTTTGTATCTAAATAAATTGAACATTTTCAAAATTCTGGGGTTGTTGTTTGGTGTCAGGATTGACCTGCTTTCCGAACTGTCCTTTACTTTAGTAGCCCTCAATGTTTGGATATTAATTGACAAAGCCTTATTTCTGCCAACGTCTATTACCTCATTAGAAAAAACTTCATCCGCACAACAACAATTTTGTATTAGGATTCTTGATAAAGCGATGGGTGCCAAGGCAGCACCACACTTAAGTAATTTAAGAATGGGATTTCTAGAGGACAAATTATACTCAATTATAGAAATTAAACATGGCGTGGATTACAGATTACATTTAGAAAATCAATTCAAGCTATTCCTAGACGATGTATTCTCTATTTGGAATGAACGAATTGGCAACGTTGCAGATTTACTACAAATAATGACTGTGTATCATCTTTGATTGGCATTAATTAGTAATTGAACATATTAACACAAGGTACAATTTTATGGATACACAATTACTGAGTTTGATACTAAGCTTGATAAAGACGAGAGTATCCTCGTCGAAACGTCGCTTAGTATCAAACTCAGTAATTGTGTATCCATAAAATTGTACCTTGTGTTAAATAATGACTGATTTAGATCTAAATAACACTTTCACAATTGAATCAAACGATCTGCAAATCACATTATTGGACATTCTAGTGAAATGAAGCGAAGAACTCCTTATAACGGATGTGCATTCTAAAGAAATAGATACCAAAAAATATCTCTCTTATAAATCATGTCATCCACGCCATACCAAAAATAATACACCCGTTTCTTTAGGTGGAACAATATGTGTCCTTGTGATAGATGAAGATATAAATTCTCCCATGACTGCATTCATGACGTTTGTTCAGCTACTATTCTTTTTTTATATAGAAATTGGGTTTAACGTCCACTCGACACAAATTAGGTCATTTCAGGACTAACATATGGTTTAATTTTATTTCAATAATTCGCTTGCGCGTAGGGGTCTTTAGCAGTGCGAGGAAACCGGAGGACCCGGAGAAAACCCACGAGGTTGGACAGGCGACCCTACTCCTTGCCACGCACAACCGGGGATTCGAAACCACACCAGTTAACTCAATGACAGGCTTTATGATACAGCGCGCGCACGCTAACCATTCAGCCATCCAACCCCCCTAGCTACTAGTCTACAATCTGAAAGCATATGTCATGGGAAATGTTGCCCTACATGTTACAAACATCCATAGTTACGAAAAAGTCACTAACGCCCTCTGGTGTAATGATATTGTTAATTCATTATATTTTCTGGACATTTTCATTTCAAGATTTTAACTTTAAGACCCTTTGAAACGCAGAAAATATTTTCATAAGAGTTCCAAATTCAAGATTTGTTAAAAGACACTTTCAGAAACCAATAAATTTATTTCTTTGTCGAGCAAAATTAAGAAATTATATTGAATTATATAAAATGTTGAAACTGGAATGTAGAAACACAAATCACGAATATTGTCTCATTTCGTCTTCCATAGGTTTGGCCCTGTATAATTATAAAAGTAAACGTATGTATGTGTGTAATCGTAATGAAATTCTGTTTGTTATTGTTTAGTCTTGACGACCAATTCAATGCTAAAATCGTACCTACATTTTCTTGTGTACTAGACGGAGGTGGATACTTCCTTTTTTATACGCCCACATTTTCATGTGCAGGTATATTGTCGTCACCCCTGTCCGTCCACAACTGTTTGTGAAGAGTCTACAGGTCACAATTTTTATCCGATTCCAATGAAACTTGAAATATAGGTTTATCACCCTAAGATCTCGGTTCCTTTAGATATTGGCATGTATCGGACTGTAACTTCATGGATTATGGCCCCTGATTGTACGAAAAATCACGTTTTTAGCTTAAGTGAACAATGTAGAGGTCACAATTTTTATCCGATTTGATTTAAACTTGAAATGTATGCTTATAACCCAAAGATCTCGGTTCCTGTCGATATTCGTGCATATCAGAACGTAACTTCCTGAATGATGGCACCTGATTGTACGCAAAATCGCGTTTTAGCTTGTTCACCCTATAGCGGTCATAATTTTTATCCGATTTAAAACACCGTACTAATATATCACCGTTACACCCTAAGGACGACTGAGTTCGAATTTCGTGAAAATCAGCCCAAAACTGACAGACAAAATGGCCGCCCTTCGTTCTCAAATAGCGTAAAAATGTGGTATATCAAGGTTGTGGACCCTACAGAGGTCACAATTTTTATCCGATTTTGTTGAAACTTGACATGTAAGTTTATAACCCAAAGCTCTCGGTTCCTGTCGATATTAGCGCATATCGGACCGTAACTTCATGAATTATGGCCCCTGATTGTACGAAAAATCGTGTTTTTTAGCTTGTGGATAGAGGTCACAATGTTTATCCGATTTAAAAAAAACCGTATTATTGTATCACCGTTAAACCCTAATTAAGGGCGGCTGAGTTCGAATTTCGTGAAAATCGGCCCAAAACTAACAGACAAAATGGTCGCCGTTCGTTCTCAAATAGCGTAAAAATATGGTATATCAAGGTTGTGGACCCTATAGAGGTCACAATTTTTATCCGATTTTGTTGAAACTTGAAATGTAAGTTTATAACCCAAAGACCTCGGTTCCTTTCGATATTTGCGCATATCGAATTGTAATTTCCTGAATTATGGCCCTTGATTGTAGGGAAAATCACTTTCGTTTTATCATGAAATTTTTTCTGCAATATGCAACCAATCGGTGTTGAAATTTAACAAACTAGTTCATCTCCAGTCCCGATCACTGTAAATTTCAGGTATTGTGAAATAATGATTTTACAAAAAAAACAACTTTTGTGTGGCTTTTTTTTGGGGGGGGGGGGGGTAGGGGGTATCCCGATCACCAAGATGCAGATGCATTTCGCCTATTTTTCGATAGATCACCAAAAACACCAATGATATTGGATTTGCAATCTGGAAATAATCTAGATATCGATCGATGACCAATAAGTGATTTAATTACTGACTTTTTATCAGCCCGGGCATATTCTAACTTTATTAATTGTGTGCAGAATTTGAGATTTTGTCATTGATTACAGAGGCAAAATTAAATATTAAATTTCATTTTAATTGCCGACATGGAATATAATATACAGATAATTCTGATATATTCACTTTTGACCATAAACCCAATTAGGGTAGATAACGTGTTGATTTAATCGAAACTCAAATAGAGAAAACACATTCTTTTTTATATTTTATAAACACATTGAAAACTTATATAATTATTAAAGATACATTATTGCTATAACAGTTCCAAAATAGATGATGAAAGATGAATATATTGAAAATTTCAGTCAAATTACTTTATTTGAACAAAGTTATCAACATTGTAATTTTTGACTAAAAATAGGAGTCAACTCTCTTCACCGTCTCCGGAAATGGCCGATCGTTTGATTGACAGACGTTAACTTCACCTACATAATCTCGATTATCAAGTAACGTTTTCAATGGCTGTGGTACCGTTAGCATATTCGGTTCGAGACGGGGTTGCAATTCAATTGGTATCACATCAATTTTTACTACAAATTAAAATAAGACTTTTAATTTATAGATAACAAGCGAAGGTTTGAAAGGAATGGACCAAATCAATGAGGCATAATTGTAGCCGACTTCTTGTTAGCCTGCGTGTACTCTAAGCAGACAAATAGGAAACAGTGATCCAGTGGGGCTGCAATTCAACTGGGGTGATTTTAGCTGCCATGATTATCAATTTCCATAATTTTTCTGTAAACGCAAGTGACAAACGAGCGTATAATACCGACATCCAAACTCTCGTTTTAACCACAACTAAACATAATATCAAGGCCGTATATATATATCGGACTTTCAATCAAATTGACTGACATGCTGCCTCGCTCAACAGCGGCCTCGCTTTGTACACTCTATCATTTAGCCTCGATCTAAACTTTCCGGGAGTATGGCGTCAACGTAACGGTTAATCTCCGCTTACGACGCCATTTAAAAATTTAATCAATCAATGAAATCCTGTTTAAATCCAAGCCATCCGTGGGTCTACAGAGTTGATTTTGTACTTGTTGTGTAAATAAAGATCTAATTTCTATGACATCAGAAGCTTAAATAAAGACTTGCAATAATCAGATTTAGCTCTTGCATAATGTATGTTTAAAGAAAGATTGAAAAAAAACCATATGCTTCATTTGGGAAACTTGTAAAACAACATAATTAAGTTTAGCATTATACCCATGTAAAGATGAAAAATAAGCTTAAAATCACCGAACACATATCAACTCATGGGAACATAACACAACCTACGTTAAACTGCCATCAGTTCAGAACTTAAATCAAATTTAAAATCTTCATGGATTCTGAACAATCATCATATCGAATGTATTACCGATACTGCAGTTTTGACGTAATATGTAGTCATCGTGAGGGATTTGTCAAGTGCATGGGGATATTATTAAAAAAAAATACAGAAAAGACGATAGAAGAGCTTGTCTTTTTACACTTAAATCTCAGCAGAGAAAATAAGAGGACGGCAAATAACCAGCAGATAAGATCGCCATAGCTCTAGTTAATAAGATTTAATTAAAGAAAGCGGCAAGAAGAGAAACAACCAGTACAAGAACTGAAGAAACTATGGATGAAGCTCCACATATGCCAGGTCTGAGTTTAGCTACAAGTGATAAGTATATTTCTTTGGTCTTGTTTTTACTGCACGTTCCTAGTTGTTTATTTTCGCTTGCACAAGACGAATAATACTGCATGTATCTGTAAATAAAATAAAATTGTAAAGTGGACACGAGAAATTATAGGTTTGTTCATGGATTTGGGTGATAACCAGACTAATTAAAACCTTTTGTAGGTTGTTTACTCCACTTCATAGGTTGGTTGACAGCCATTTATTTATACAGTCATTAATTAATCAGTATCCCCCCCCCCCATTCATTTGAAAGGCTGTAAATGTTAAATACTGCAGATTCTTCTCGGCACAGGACTAGTTTCGTGCCCGTGATATTATCCTGTCTTTATGGGGGCACTTACAATGGCCATCTCATTACGTTTTATGCTAGGTCCCCACTATCGGGATTCGCGCAACGGTTGAAATCGTCGCTTTAATCGTGGAGGTCGTATCAGGTCTTATATTTACTGGTATTGAACCTATAAAATGTTCTCAAAAACGCAACCTGACTTCTGAGATGGTAATGTGTTCTCCATGATTTTCATGTAACTCATGCTGCACGTGCTGTTCACCGGGACCAGCCCTATACAATGCCCGCCATACTTGGTTGAATCATTCACACGACAACGTCAGCAGCATGCCGCGACCCTCGCCTCGACACTGGCTACACTGCCCAAGCCGTTGCCAATAACTTCCAAGTCAATGTTCGGACCATCTACAGGCTTCGGCAACTCTTTCGGGTTACCAAGACCACGGATTATCCCCCCAACTGGTAGATCAAGGGTGACCACAAGGCGACAAGACCGCCATCTTGTGCGACAGCACGTGCAGAATCCCTTCACAAAGTCATCTGAGACAGCACGTCAGACAGTGGGAAGACTCGTCAGTACCGATACAGTGCGCCGACGTCTCGCCAGAGAGAATATCCATTGCCGTAGACCTTACCGTGGACCCATCCCAACCCCTCGCCATCGACGTGAACGTCTACATTTTGTCCAACAACACCAGAACTGGCGACACGGGCAATGGAAAACTGTTCCGTTCACCGATGAGAGTCGGTATTGCCTATCAAATGCAGATGGCAGGACCAGAATATGGCGTCGACATATAGCGTTATTCTGACCAATGTGGTCTTCCGAAATCTTGGTCCAGGGAGAGGAGGCGGCATCACAGCAGTGCGCTAAATCGATCAAGCTCTCAGACCCCACGTCACCGAAACAACGTTTTCCAGCGTGACAACGTCCGTGCCCACACTGCCAGAGTTTTTACAGCAGGACGGTGTCAACGTTATGCACTGGCCAGCCCTTAAACACGATTGGGCAATGGACATCTTTGGGATGAAATTCAGAGGAGACTTAATAACGATTACCGAGACCAAACATAGCCAATGGATTGTGCCAGGCTTTTCTGAGAGTGTGGTTCCAAGTGCCAATGGCATTCATCAATCGTCTGGTCCACTCCATGTACAGACGCTGCGCTGCTTTCATTGACACTCGCGATGGACACAGCAGATACCGATGTATAGACTGTGAACAGACTCTAAACTTTCTCGTTATGTCTTGGAAATGTGATGAATTAATCACTAATGATTTGATTAAAGTGCCCATCTGATTTTGAAATCGTACTGGCGTTCTTTGGTTGTTTTTGACTGATACAATTTGTCTGTGGGCTGTCAGCTAACAGTATTTTAATACTCGCTATTCGATATTCAAAGATATGAAGAAACATGAATCATACATACCTGCAGTAGTAAGTGGCTAAATCGGCGATGGTAGGACTGTTGCTTAATGTAATGTTGTTATCAGTATGTATGTAGAATACACATTTAGTTATGGCAGCATAATTAACACAGCCTCCATCATACTCTGAAAACAGAAACAATTTCTTATAAAATCATAAATGGCGCTCTGTATTAGAATTGGAAAGATAACAGAAAAATAAATCCTAAAAACAGCTGCCATGAAATTTGTCTTACTACCTATAGCAGAAATGTCGATTATCACACACCACAAGTAGATAAAAATTTAAAATAGTGATAAAAATAAAAAGTGATATAGAATCAATATACGTAACAACACATTTCTATACAGATATATCACAAAGTGTGGTCTTTTTTGAGTCGCTATATCAATTAACACATTTGGTGAAATCGGGGTTAAGTGAAGACGGGCATGCAGTATACGGTCAAATAAATTTTACCAGAACAGCTGAGTTTCCATCTACTTTTTATCGAATTCCAATTGCCAACGGATACACGGGACCTCGACTTTTAGTTCCATCTAGAGGTTTACCTTTCCAGGCCAACAGTCCAGCAACACAGATAGGTGGAAATAAAGATAGAATACGAGAAGGAAATTGTGCTTTTTGTAAAATTCTTGACATCTTGCAAGAAACATCAGCACCCTATTTTTGTAATACAGTTGTGTGATCTGGACTGTGTTTGTTTTACGAGCCTGGAGCACACTTTTATATGTTATATTCATATCGTGCAGTAGCCAAGGTAAAATTCAAACGGAAAAAAATAAACAGAAGATTTTTAGTTGTTTTTATCAAACACGGCCCAAGATTTCTCACATGTTTCATTAATTCAACCACAATTACAACAACAGATTAACAAGCCAACAGTGAAGCTGGTGTCCCTCGCCACAATCCCAAAATATATAGATGATAATTTAATTAATTGCACATGTATCTTTTTGAAAAGCAATTCAGTTGATTATCTGTACTTAGTCTAAGCAGAAAGTGTTCACGGTGGAACTCAGACAAGGTTTCCAAGTACCTCTCCATCAGTTAGAATCAAAGTTATCTTGTCCCAAAACATCGGTCAATACAATTGCTTACCCCTGCTTAGGTTTAGCGGAAAATGATAATCATTGAACTCAGTCACGACATTCATCTAGTGGGCATCTACACCAAGTTTAAACATTCTACCTCAATTAAAATCAGGGTTATGTTCCATAGTCTTGACCAATCAAATTGCTTATTGCTACTTAGCCTAAGTTGAAAATTCTCATCATCGAGCTTAGTCAAGTTATTGATGGAATGAATCGATACTTTGCGTTTCATCACTTTCACTCAGATAGTTATCGTAATCCAAAGTTTCAACCAATCAAATTACTTATCTGTTTGACCTTAGTAGAACACGCACATGGTCGAATAGACACCTACACCAAGTCTGATCATTCTGTGCGAAACAGAAGGCATGTTATTGTATCCCAAAGCATCAACCAATCAAATTGCTTATCTCTGCTTAGCCTTCGAACTCCTTCAAGGCATGCACATAATAAACACCACCAAGTGTGAACACTAAATTGTGAACACTCAATTATCGTGCCCCAAAAAGTGTGACGGACGGGCAGATGAGACCTATTTTAATAGCCCACTGCTTTTTTTCGAAAGGCGGGATACAATAGAACAACTTACCGCTCTGACGAGCACACATAGTTTTTAGAACTTCTGTATATTGATTAGAAGAGGCTACCACTTGTTTGGTTTCAGTTGTTCCACACGCTATGTGTGTATCCGCTATGCATTTCACTGCTTTTGATATTTTATTCAAATTTCTGAATCAATGGTACATACAAATGATTAATAATTAAAAATAAAACAGTTTATGCATAGTCAATAGTATAATCTCAGATTCGGGTTGGTCACTAATCAGTTAGTTTAGAAATAAACAATTCGGGATCAAAAACACAATTGGGATTGCGCCACTCTATTCGATGAATGACTCTATTATCAGTTTTGCCGAACGACCGACACGGCCTGGAAAAGTAGGGCTTTATATTGTGTAAATGAACCAATTCATTGCGATTTTCTACAAATTGTCAGCTGTAAACTACTGAATTTTAAAGACTGCTTATTTTTCATGAGTTGATATAAATACATAAATTAAATGGGGACTCGCGTCCTACTCTTCTGTAACAAGATGGTTAATGAAGACGGGAGTTTATACAAGGAACCCCGTCTTTATTAGCCCAGTCGGATCAGAACACTAGGACGTCAAACCTCATTGCATTTCATACAAGGATCGCGGTGGATGAATTGTGTATCCATTACTATATACAGTGAACTGGACAGCTAACACCGAATATTGTAACTCAGATTGTTCAATCCGCGTATCGTCATATGACTTTATGGGCAATATATATTTTGTTCACGACGTGATCCACGCTAAAATGTACCCAGATTAATTATTTAGCATTTAATTTAGAAAACTAATTTACAATGGCTTGCAAGTTCTCGGTTTCGTTTCCAGAGGATGTTGCGAATATCGCCATTTGCTAGCGATTCAGAAAACTGTGATGCCGTGCCGCTGTTATTTTAGAAGTGCAGGTCTGATTAGTTGGCCCCACGAAGATACTAGCTATTCTAGCCAAGACGTCTGTTCTCGTTGAAATTACAGGCAATTAGTTACGGATAGGTAAGAGAATAGGAATTGGAACTAACCTACGGATTGGTAGGGGAACATGAACTACTGTGACACTAAACTATTCCCCCCTTAATTTTTAGAGTTTTAATTACACTGATGTACACACAAGATTCCCCATTTTAAAGTTTTCAATCACAAAATCACTGAACAGGTTATACATCGTTGTATTTAGCCGGCTTCTTTATTGGTCGTCCGGAACGCGAAAATCTGGTAGCTTTGGGTCGGGAAGCAGTTGGTGTTGGGAGTCGGTTGACTCACAGACCTACCAGGATCCAGTATCCCAGGCCAATCTGTCTATTCAACGGAGCCTTGAAACGTAGAGTCGTTTGTGACATGTTCGCTGATAACTGGTGACGTTGATGTTGTTGAATCATCCTCTGTAGATGTTGTTCCCAGATCAACAAATCCAACTTGAGATTGCCCTCAATAGATGTTGTACCACCACCATCAACAAGATCAACATCATCTGATTGTAATGTCATGTCTACACGAAGTTGACGTTGCAATTTATTGATCCAAATTGGAGTACTTTCAATAGTACATCGTTTCAAACGGTCATGGTGGTAAACAGTCCGCTTCTTATGATGAGCAACTTCAAACAGAACAGGTCCAAGAACTCGTGTGACGACAGCTGGCCCTTTCCACCGTGCTTGGAGTTTCGGACTTATACCCACTCTTCTGGCTGTGTCCAAAATGTAGATTATGTCACCAACTTGATACGTTTTCTTGTTTATTTGTATAGCCATGGAGACGCTTCTGTCCTACAGCCGATCTCTTTAGGTTTTTACGGGCTAGCTCATGGGTTTCTTCAATTGATGATCGAAGGTTCTCCTCGTGGAGTTGTTTTATGATCAATCAATCCAAATATCAATTCCTGTTGTAATCGAGGGGGGTTGGATGGCTGAATGGTTAGCGTGAGCGCGCTGTATCATAAAGTCTGTCATTGAGTCGAATGGCGTGGTTTCGAATCCCCGGTTGTACGTGGCAAGGAGTAGGGTCGCCTGTCCAACCTCGTGGGTTTTCTCCGGGTCCTCCGGTTTCCTCCCACTGCTAAAGACCCCTACGCGCAAGCGAATTATGTAAATAAAATTAAACCATATGTTAGTCCCGAAATGACCTAGTTTGTGTCGAGTGGACGTTAAACCCCATTTCTCTCTCTCTGTGTTGTAATCGAACTTCCCGGCCAAGCATCAGTTGGTTTGGTGTTAAACTGGTACTGGTGTGGGGTGTACTGCGATACGCACTAGTTAAAAGTGGGATATACTCACCCCACTCGTCCTGACGGTCAATATAACATCGTATCATTTGTAATAATGTGCAATTAAACCGCTCGGCTAGTCCATTAGAGCTGGGGTGGTAGGGCGTCGTCCTTGTCTTGGCCCAACCCAACAACTGGCCAAGCCGCTTCATCATATCGCTATCAAAATTACGTCCCTGGTCCGTATGAACCTCTAGCGGAACTCCAAATCGGGAGATGAATTCATTTACGAATGTTCTAGCTACTGATTCGGCAGTTTGGTCAGGTAAGGGGTAGGCTTTGGTCCACTTGGTGAACTGATCAACCAGTACTAAAATATATCGGTTACCTTTCCTTGACTCTGAAAAGGGCCCTAGGATATCGAGTTGGACTGGATCTAGTGGCGATCCTGCTCGGTATTCTTGCAAGCCAGAAACGTGTGAGTGAGATGATTTCTTGAGAACAGAACACTGTGGACAAGCTACAACGTGATTCTCAACATCTTTCCTCGTAGAGTACCAGTAGAAATGCTGCTTCACACGACTAAGCGTCCGATGAAACTCTGGATGGCCTGCGACAACTGAATTGTGGCAAAGTTCTAAAACTACTCTTTTCAATTTGTTTGGTACCAGTAGGGGGGGGGGCGGTTACCGCTCTCATCTTTCCAAGTATAGAAGATAACATTATTAGTCAGAACGAGCTGTGGAAAACACAACCAAAAATGTCTTAATGCTGGGTTTTCTGAAAATAGATGTTGTTTGTCAATTGGAGGAGCATCTGTAAGCCATGTGTGTAGAATCTTTAGGACAGGATCGTCCTGCTGAAATTGACTGGTCTCCGCAGAGTCGTAACCTTCCAGCCTGCTTTCTCCGGATGGCTGTTCTTCTATGACAGAGCCACGATCTCGTACATAACGAACGGCTATAGGAAGCACATCATCGATATCAGATTCAAACTTGGCCCATGAATCGTGGGCTCTCGTGCAGTATCTGCAACCACCACATGGAAGGCGGGACAAATAAGTTCCCGCGTTATAGCAGTTACATTCCTCATCAAATGGATAACGGCTAACACTATAAACCTCAGAATGCCTGGTTCGGCATTTCTGTCCAAACGAGGCAAAAACGTTTCAAAATTTTTGCCCCGATTTTGCCACGTTGTAACGAGGTAAAAAAAAATACCTCGTTTGTCTGGAGTTCCAAAATGTGTCTTTTTTTTTTATTAAATTGCCCTGTTTTTGGAACGAGGTATTTTGTTCAGAACGATGCTGGGTAAAATTGCCTCGTTTACTAAACGAGGTATTTTATCCAAGATAATTATTAGCTGTATTTGCTGTCAACAAATAGAGTTAATTCACATGACGTCCAGGACGGAGGGGCTGACAAGGAAAGCTGTCTAGTCGTTCGGATGGGACGAAGAACCGAGGTCCCGTGTACACATTGGCGTGCACGTAAAAGATCCCTTGGCAGTTGGAATTCTATATAAGAGTAGGCCGTAGTGCCGCTGTCCGAGCAAAATTTCCCTCATAGCACACTGTATGGCGTATGCCCGTCTTCATAGCCCACGTTAGGAGCAGAACAGTAGGACGTTAAACTCCATTTCATTTCATTTCATTTCACATGACGTCACACACATTGGCCGCCGCCATCTCGGTGGAGAACCAGACTACACGTGATCCGATAGTTACAATGTGATTGCAGTTGGAATTATGATTGTTGCGCTTTTGTCATGTGATTTTTATGTTGAATAAAGATTTTGTCTATGTATTTTAAATTTTATATTTAATTTCTATTAAAATCCGAATTCGTCCGTGACATAACGCGCTTATCGCGACAAAACGATGTTTGTTTATAGGCTATAACCTGTATAAAATAATTTGTTTATTTAAAATCCGAATTCGATCGTGGCATATAACGCGTTTATAGCGACAGAGCGGTGTTGTGTTTGTAAATATGAAATAATATAAAATTCTGTTTCTACGGCGTTAAGTATTTTTTAAAAAATTACCATTAGATTTATTTATATAGGCGAACTAGCTGCATCGTGTTTGTGTACCTACATGGATAATGTCTGATGTGGAAAATTATAAGTTAATAGGTTAGTTGCTGACGCGACATTTCGAGACCTATGTAAATTCAGTTTTTATTTTTATTTAATTTTTTTTCAAAACAAACCCATTAATTAAACACACACACACACACTTATTATAGAAAATCGTGTGAGAAGCTCGATACCGTACGTAGGGTGATGATGAATCGAACGTTTGAAAAACTGTTCTGACTCACTGGATATATTTTCTTTCTTTTTTTGTAAATTTTAATTTGAGGTATAATAATTATTCACTGATTCGATATAATCATTTTATTATTTCTGTTATTCATCTTTAATCAAGAGGAAATATCGTAAAAATGCAGACTTTCCGCTGCGTCGCCAACTATTTTATCATTGGTTAGAGCCGTCTAAACGCCGGAAAATTTCCAGTAACTATTAGCTAACAGCGTGCAAGCACAAAGGCGAACAATCTTATTTGCATATTGCATACTTTGTAGTATTATTGGCTGGAATTAATTTTAGATCGATAACCTCAATGACCAATATGTAGTACCGTAGGAATATATAAAGTGCAGTTGCTATATAATTTGCCATAAGGCCTATACAAAAAAAAAGGAACTAATAGAATAATTTCACGTTAACAAAAATATTTCAAGCACATATTTACTTTAGGCATCGTGATTCCAGAACCGAGTATCGAATTCAGCGATAGGCTACTTATTTTTGGTGCCAAAACTAAAATTTTCATTGGACGATATTCGTGGATTCGTTTACTTGGGCTTTATTTGCAGTCTGGGGGTTCGGGGTTTTCTTCCTTTTTTTTGAGGGGGGGGGGAAATTTT